TTAAAAGCGAAAAACGAAATCTCAACAAGTTTATTGTAGATGGCAAGCCAACTCAGCAAAGACTTTTTCTTTGATTTTTTGAAAAGTTTAGATGAACAGCTGATCTTTTCTGATTACATTGATGTTCCTGATAAAAGTTCACAAAATTTTGCAATTTCATAGATTATGAAGACTGTTCTCGGTTAAGCACCTGGTAAAAACTAAAACCACTTTCTAAAGTTATAATTTATTTTGGAATGAGTTGTTCTTAAAAATAATCATCGGATTGAGGGGAGCCATCGAATCGTAGACAACCAATTCCATGCATAGGTTTAATGCTCTGTTCGAACCAGTTTAAAACTAGTATTTAAATCCAATCATATTATTGATAAAACTATCTCTATAAAACATTTCTAACTAACCTATCATTATCCATATTTAACACTTACAACTATTTCTAAAGCTTAAACTCTTCATAGTTTCAGGAGCAGAACAGAATAAATATGACTTAGAAAACAGCTGTTCTCCTTTGGAACAAGTTCCAAATATCTAACTGGCAAATATCAGTATACACTAGATCTAATGAGACTAGGAGATATAAGAGAAAGATTAAGATCGGTATTAGACTAAGAAGCTGCACGAATCTATCCGGCCGAAAATAAAATAGCGTGACGAACAGACGGTGTACCTTATCGGAAATTACTCTATGAGTGAGCCACCCCAGCCATAAATTCACTCTGATGGATAATATCGCCACACCCTCATAGGGTGCAAAATTTTGCATACTCGCCCCTGATTGGTCATAATCTGAAACTTTTAATTTGCCGCCTTTATGCGATGTTTTGCAAATTCGGTGGAACAGTTTTGGCTGTTCGGGGTTAAGTTTTTCAAGTTCGACGCCCTGCTGCGTCTGAAATACTGATCTTTATGTGGTCTAATACGATAATATTGATAACGTCCGAAATAACGCCCTCTTTTGGCATAAAATCGAAGACGTTTTTACATGCGATTTGTTTCGCCAAGTTGTCTTTAAGTATGCGAAACGATCCAATCGAAATATGGCATTCTATCAGCCCAAATGTTTAGTCTCGATTGGTATGTCTTATTTCATCGACTTGCTGCTGTTCTTGAGATATACGCAATTGGGGCTAAAACCCTCGTTTCAACTTCTTGTTCAATTGCAGCGGTCAAACTTCTATGTCTGGTGTTGCAAATATTTTGTCAATTTTTTTTTGCCGCAAGATAAGGATATACCTGGTAATTTAATTGACCATTATCTTTTGTACTTTCGCGAATGAAGTATCCTCCACATATAATTCACTTTGTTGCTCATTTCAGTGATGGCCTAACTTAAGTGCCGCTATGGCATTTGAAACTTCGGAATGAATCAAGGCAGATGAGTCATGACCCGTATAAATGGTCTGAACAAGTTTGGTGGTGAATAATTCAAAATTATTTCCACTTTGAGTCAATTTGAATTTATCTCCACCGATTTGACTTCAAAAACTAACCACGTTTCTTTGGAGAATTCAAATTCAATCCAAAATCCATTTTCTTCAAATTCTCATCAGCTATAGTTTTTTGGTTAATTGAATCACACTCCGAAATAGCTGGGATGCCATCCAGGAAACATAAAACACCCGGCATTCATTTGAATGTGTTTTTACTTGCCTTTGAAAGTTCTTTTCACATATCGTTCAACCTGCAAAAACCAAGTTTGATCCATACACCGCTGTGAACTTTCCGCAAATGCTGCTCAAGCTACAATGTTTGATTAAAAATTCATTCAGGCTCAATTTGCTAAAAACACACTTTTGTTCTAATAATAGATTTTTAAACGCGGATTTTGAAGTGATTTGAGCAAGAAAATTAGGGCATCTAAAATTAGTTCTTGAGAATCTTTGCAATTATCATTTTTGTATCCATAGCTAATTTAATTGAACCGTTCTTCTTGGCTGTTATCCTTGTTCGAGCTACAAGTGGGTCATTGTACTTTTGTCTTAGTTTACAGTGTGATCTTTGTTCATGTAATTTTCTGTTTCAACTCCACTTTCTGCTAAAATCAGTGGCGGCTTAAGCTACTTTAAATGCATATGGTTGTTGTCAACGGCGAAGGTAAAATTTGTTCTTGAATCTTTGCACAACAAGCAGATCTGCCGTTTTCTTGTTCAGAAATTACGCGCTCCTTGTGTTGTTCGTGTCGCTGAAGGTTGACGTTTTCGCCCTGAGTAAGACCATCCAACACTATGTTGATCCTTTAGTTACATCTGTTTTATATAAGTTTTTGATCGAGTTCTTTTGTTACGGAGCAAGTATTCTAAGAACTGGTCAACCCAGTTCACCATCGGAACCGATGAAGTTTGTCGTCTCTTCGTCTTTTCATACAAATTGACAATATCTGCATGCAGTTCTGCATACTTACAACAATGCCCAAAGCAATCATGTTTTCCAGACAATTTAAGAGTGACAGTACAGGCAAATTTTTAAAACTGACAGTACCGACAGTACGGGTAAATCTGTACACCAAATTTCTCTAAATTTGTTGTCACAAAAATAACGTAAATTCGAGGCACCTAATTTCTCCGACTTTCAAATCAGATTGGTTGTTACTTCTTCAATTCTGATTCATGTTGTTGCCGAAGGCTCTGTACATTCGGTTTGAGACATAATTTGTAGATTGAACTTACAAGATGGGCTTCTGATTCACCTTGATAAATTTATGAGTTGAGCATGCCTTGGCGAAAGGATTTTGTCTTTGCAAAACATTAGCTGTAGTTTAGCTCTTTTCGTGGTATAATATTGACCTCAGAGTATCATCTCCACTATACATAGAACCCTCTATATGACTGTGAGGGTTCTTTCAGCGATGAAATTATTGCGAAAAATTCCTTGTCAATTTCTTGGTTTCGCTTCTTCTCCTGAAAAACAAAGATCCAATTCTTCGAGAACTTTTTTGACACTTTGAATAGCGTGGTAGATCTGCAACTTCTCTTTGGCATATTTCTTCTCTCCCAGAAAAAAAAAACAACTCACTACGATTGTGAAAAGTCCGCAATCAAACTGTGCATAAGTTGAAGGATGATTTCTGTTGAGACTGCTTCTTTCCCCCGTAATCCAAAGCGCAAAAATTGGACTTAAATCGGTTCTCTGCGAGATGGTAAAAAAAATTGTCCGATATCTAGACCATACCTCTTCTTCTCTTGAATGGGTTTTTACTGACTGAAATTGCTGCTGTATCCCCAGCGATCAGGTCATTCATCCTATCTGTCGTTTCTGTTGATAGAAAAAATTCTGTCACTGGCGGAAATTTAAAAGATATTGGGTTCCATGACAAAAAATTTAGGTTGGGACCGCCCCCTTTCTTCATAAGATCGCTTGAAAGAATTGACCAATCCGCGTTTCACGCTTAAATGGTATAGCTCTACTGAAAATATTTCCCTCAAATCCTGTACAATCAGTAAAACTGTACTACGGCAGATGGTATATCTTCTGGCTGCTCTTGAGAAAACCTGTAGAAACTTTACAAAACCTCATTTAGAAAACTACCTTAAAGACAAAGTAAGCTGTAAATAGATATATTTCTCTAAACGCTTACATAAAAATCAAATTGAACATCGACTGAAATCTGTCAACATCAAAAAAACAGGGTTCCTAGAGCCAATGTGATAAACTCACCATCACTGACTGGTACCAAATTATAGTAGTAGCTTAGACTGCACTATGTCAAGCACTGACCTTGAATACCGATACTATTCCGTTTGACATTCTTCAGTCAACAAAATTGAGTTTTTAATTTATATTGGAAGAAAAAATTAATTTCCAAGAAAAGTTGTTTAAGTGCGTAAGAATTAGGACGGTGACCAGCAGGCATGGCTTTCTTGAATCCTGTCATCGATGAAAGAAAATTTTTTCAATTATTAGTTTTTTCTTTTGCTTTTTAAAATCAAATTTAAAATTTTGCTGGCTTTTCTTAACGATCTGCTGCCTTTTTTCTAATTGAAGATATTTCTTAACTAGTTCAATACCTTATGTTTTTTTTGTTTTTTGAACAATAGACGCCCATCATTTTTTTGCGGAATTTTCACGATTATTTTATCCAAGCTTTTTAATTCGAAAGATGAAGATCAACTATTTCGATTTCTATGAGACTCCAAAAAAATACATATTCATCTTTTATGTTTATATGAGGAGTTTTGACCATTTGAATGTACCATTAGTTAGCAGAAAATTTCGTCTAATCAGGCTCAAAATGCTTTTCATAATTTGACAGCACCAAATTTTGACGATGTTGTTATGAGCTTAAAAAAATTGATTTTGCCTGGGCGATTGACTTCAAAATTTGGAGTGCTGTTTCATACAGAGGCTTTACGTCGATTCGATAAAGTTTGATTCTTATGTCAATTTCAATTAAATCAAAATCAAATAATAGGATTCTTTTTTTCATAGCCTTCAGGACGCTCTGGGTCACGTGATGAGAAAAAATTTCAGCAAGAAAATTTTTTTAAAATCATTATTTGTAGTCGTTGAAATAAAATTCACAGATGGAAGTTATTTCTCGTGATATGACCCAGAGCGTATAGTCAGATAAGCAGTTTGAAAAAAAAACAATAGTCAATAATCGGATACTGAATCGTTCGATATTTGAACGAAGATACTTCTGTTTTTTTATCATCTTAACCCAAGGATTACAATTTCGGCGAATCGTGCTAACTCTATCAGAGCTTTTTGCAAGGTGGAAGAATTTAAAATTGAATATGCGAACTATTCTGAACTGAGATTTGCTCCTGTTTTTTAGTCGTTAATTGCATGGTGGAAAACATGGGTCTTTACTTCAGTTTTATTGGTTAACGAAGTTTAGTTAAATTAACCTACAACAAAAATTTTTTGCGATTTGCAACACAACTGTGTTAGTAATGTCCTTGTTTAATCACAAGTCCATCGAAGCGTATGGTTATTTGTCTCGTTTAATTAGTTTTTCCCCAAATAACGGATAAAAAGATTTATTTGTAAAAAGCGCGTGGCTCCTTTGGAGAAAACTTTCCTAGACTGATAAAAGAAACGACAAATCAGGGAAAAAGTGTTTCATTATTCATGGTTTATTTCCTTTCCCGTTTTTGAGTTAAACAAACAGTTCTTTTTACAACCAAGCTTTTTTTGTCATTAATCAACTAAAAAATTTACCTTCTATCCAATTTTTAATACTTTTCCCTGACTTAAGAAACCAACAAGGGTAATACAATAGTCCGTTTGTAATTAAAAGCGCAGTATTTCTTACTCATTTTTATCACATTGGCTCTAAATTGAAACAAAAATGCAGGTTAGTAGAAAAAAGGTTATTTTTGGCTTAAATTTCTGTATTTTTGACTCTTCTTAACCGTTGACTTCAGTCGAAATAGAGGAGAAATACTGGAATAATGCAAAGAGTCCCAAATTTTAGGACCTCTGCGAATCGCAGAAACCACAATTATTAATAATTTTGATTATTTTGAATTAAGAAAATTGACGAGCTAACATGGTTTTGCAGAACGTTTTTTATGGGGGGTGGGGGATGTGGAATAACTTATAATTCAGGTGTCTCTGACAATCACGAGTAATTTATCGCTAAGATTAACCGGGGCCGAGGTCGGTGATTTATGTTGCGGATATCTCAACTCAAAACAGGCATGTTGCGACCATTGCGAATCAAATTGATTGTGGTGCAACTTTGTGCCGCCGAAGTGTTTAGCGCGATTTTGCGCGACCCAAAAAAGATACTTCACAATTTTGCGCGACTCAAAAACGATTTGTTGCGACTCTGAGTGACCGAAGTGTTTTTCGTGACTTTGTAGGACCCAAAAAAGTAAACATATAGTTTTGTTTTTCGCGTGAAGATTTTGGCAAATTTTGCCGGAAACAAAAGCATACGTTTTCATGACACGTAATTTTAGCCTAGTGAACACTTGTTTTTCAAAAAGTTATTTTGCCAAATTTTGATTTCATTTTTGCTAAGTTCGCCCCAAAATTTCAACTAAAAATTGATCCACCCAAAGCATTGATTGTAGACTTTTGAAATTTAAGAGAATTCGTGGTATGAAATAAAGCAACTAATCAAATTGCTTTATTTCATACCTTGAAAACCCTAAAATTCAAAACTGTACAAGGATAAGGGGCGGATATCGGGGTTGGGGTGGAGGCGGACGTTTTCTTCTTCTCAAGAATTCGACCCACTGCCGACCCAAAGGGTCCCCACTTTGTACTATTTTGAGATATCCATTTTTGGTGAAGGACCCTAAAATTCTTCTAAAGGCGCCTTCGACGCCAATATATACTAATTTTGAGGGGGAAGCGCGCCGAAAAATTGCAATTTTTTTGTCAAAATTGTCCAAAAAGCCAAAAAGTGCTTAAAAATGCCTAAAAAAAGGTCGAAAGAATTATCGAAAATTTTTGAAAATCCGCCCTCCCCCTCGAGAAAATCCTAGATCCGCCCCTGACAAGGATCCCATTGAAATCAACTAAAGAACTTTTTTTGAAGCGCCTGTTGCTCAAGCCTAGGTTTTTTCTCGAGAAGAAATTTTTTGCCCAAGTTTTTCAATCAAAGCATCAAAAAAAACTGTTTGAAAAATTTGTTTTGCCTTTTTCATTTTGTGTCCTTGATGTGCGACTCATATTGCGACTTTGTGCGTTCTATGTGGCAACTTTGCCATTTCATGCGATTTTGCGCTACCCATTATTAGCTATGTTGCGATTTTGCGCGACATTTTTGCTACTTTTTTCTACCCATTTCTGTCGCAACATAAGTCACTGACGTCGGCCCGGGAATTGCAGGTTACTTTTCAGATAAAGTCAACACTCTAGAATAATGCAATTAAACACTAAGTTCAATTGACAGTGAACATTAGCCATTAGTAATCACGGGCGGATCTAGGATTTTCTTGGAGGGAAGGCAGATTTTTAAAAAAAATTTCAAAATTTTGTCGATCATTTTTTCTAGGTCGACCAGAGCGCCTCGAGATCACTATAAAGAATTTTTTTTTGAAAAGAAACCAGTCAAATTCTTGAAAAAATAAACAAGACAAAAATGCAGAAAACGCAAAATTGTGGATAAGCTAATTTAATATCATTTCAAAATCCGGTTGAACTCATCATTGTGAATTTAATTTATTGAGTATTTTGAGGCTGATTCAAATTAAATATGTCATTACCATTTGAGTATGCCTATTGCATTCAGTTTTCGTCGGTGGGTGGGGGCAGATGTCAAATTATAACCGATCTCACCCAAATGTGGCCTTAGGGTAAAACTGCTCCATGAAACTTTGACTTGAATTTCCAATTTTTTTTTGATATGTTTTAAAAATAACATACAATATACAGTTTTTAAGGGATAAATTGATGTATGTTACAAAGGAAAAGGCTGAAATGTTGAATGACTCCAAGTTTCCAAATATAGGTACATTTAGTTCCAGGGATATCATGAAATGAATGCACCCATTGGAGCCCAATTGGGGGCCCAATTTTTTTAGTAATTTGGGTTTGCTCATCTCCTTCCCCAGCATATTGGGTGCTAAAAAATTGGCTCATTCAGCCTCTGTTATTCAAAAACGAATTCCTCGAGGAACTCAGACTCTTTCAAGGGTCCAACTTCTGTAAACTTTGATTTGATTTTTCAATCTGGACAGCAAGTCTTGCAAGCTTCTTGCTAAACTTTTTTTGCTGCAAAAAATTAGAATACATTTTTCAAAAAAAACCGAATCAAGGGGAATATTTAGGAACTCAATGTTCTTTTTTTGGCGTTGATAACTCTAAGATCTTGAAAAAATTTGCATTCCTTTAAAACCATGTAAAAAGTTTACTGATGTAAAAAATATGCTCAATTCTAGAAAACGTTTTGCGTTTGATTACAATTTTCTGCCAACAATCTTTTAGATAACGATTTTTATGGGGTAAAAATTTTTGATTACCTAACCAAATCATATTTTTAAACTATATCTTATCTATTTATTTTGGAAAAAAATTTCAAAATTGCGGTGTTTAATTTTAAGAATAATGGTTTTGCTTTTTTAAAAATGCATTTCTTGTGCAACTTTATTGTGTTCACATCGCCTCAGGGGAAACATAATTCAGCAATCATGGAGGCGAGATTTTACTAATATTCTTCTAGACGGCTCTGAACATAAAAAAACTGCAAAAGTTAATTGAAAAAAAAAAGTTTTTTGTAGGTTGCAAAATTTTGCTGATTTCTGTTAAACGGAATGCAAGTCTTGCAGGAATCGTGCAAAATGAAAGTAAATCTTGCAAGATTCTGGAAAGAAAAAAGCAGGAATAATTTAATTGCAATTAAATGTTGCAAGGTTTGCATTCCGAGAAGACTATGCGAACCTCTGTTGATTTGCTCTATTTAAACGAGCAATATAGAAAGATAATAAGACCCAATTTGTTTGAAAAAATTGGGCTCTTTCGACATCCTTTGCTAGTAATTGGACTGATTCAACTCGTTTTTCTAATTGTTGGGCTGATCCAAATGTCAAAAAATTGGGCTAATCTATCCCCTTTTGTAAACTTTGAGCCCGTTTGCCACCATATTGACAAAAAAGGACCAATAATTGAGCCCAGTTTGCTTAAAATTGGTTTCATTCGGCTCTTTTTCTAAAAAAGTGGGGCTCATTTATTACCCTCCATGAAAAAAGGACCCAAATAGTTATTTTTGCCCGATATTTGTTATATTTTTGATGGAAAACTGAGCATGGAAAATTACGTAAGAGTTTATGAGTTTGGACTTCTAATACTGGAGTTTTCTCTAATTGTGGTTTCAAAAGTGCCAGTTTAGGTTGGTTTCGGAAACAAACTGGAGGTCCCGAAAACAATCTTCGGAGCCCAGAAACAAAAAATTGAGCGCAAAAGGTCTTCGTCAATTGCCAAAATCGAGACCCTCAAAATGTCAGTCTACGACCAGATTTCGGCCTTTTGTGGACAACAGTCTCATGGTGGTTATGGAACTGAAAAAAGGACATCAAGTTTAAGCGCTGGAAACAGTTGTAACAGCTTGACCAGTAATTTGGACGAAGGCTACGACAGCCGAAGGTCGAGTATGGACACGAGAGAGTACAGTTGCAGTGATCAGGGCATGCAGCCGAACAAACTCAGTTTGATCCCGATATCGAAAAAGAACAGTTTTACTGTGGGTTAGTTGATCCATTTTTTTTCAAACGCTATTAATGTCTTCTTCTGAAATCCTTTAAAAAAATAAGAGCTTTGTAGACTTAAAGCTTGTGTTAGCTCAATTATATTCGAGCAGGGGGGGGGGGGGGGTGGCTTGTTGGCGGGCGCTTTTTTCTCTTTTTCCAAAAAACTTACATAACGGCCCTTTGGTAAGTTTTTTTTTTGCTGATGCGTAGATAATTTGTTCGAAACAGGATCTTTTTAGTGATTTCAGAGATCGGAAAATCAGTTTGATTGACCTAAAAAAATGCATGCCCCCACCCTCTCGAGAAAAACCTAGACTCGCACTTGTTGGTACTTGCACTTTTTTACATTTTTTTGGTCATTACGAGGCCAAACTGTGCACTGAGTAGGAGCACAACTTTGTGTCTGTATGTTCCTGGATTCCAGAGACAAGTCTTAAAATATGTTCCGAAATGTAAGTGGATTCCACAAACAAAATTTCAGTGGATTCCGCATACATACACCAGTAACGTAAATTTTTACGGCCTATTTGTTTTGTTGCGGATTCCGCAACAAGCAAATACAGCTAGTTGTTCTGGATTCCGCAACTGTAATTGGATTCCGCAAAATGTAATTGGATTCCGCAAAATGTAAGTGGATTCCACAAAATGTAAGTGGAATCCGCAAATGTAAGTGGAATCCGCAAAATTTGTAAGCGGAATCCGCAAATGTAAGTGGATTCCGCAAACTGTAAGTGGATTCAGAATTTTGTTTTATAGTTAACTTGCATATGAACAATTAAAAGCTAAAGCTGGAACTCTAATCTATGGCAATGCGGAGTTCAACGGCAAGGATTTAGCCATTGTCAGCGGAATCCACGAACCAATCTCAAAAAATTTGTTGACTAAATCGGTATTTGGTATTTTTGGTATTTTGGAAACACAACACCGAATAAGTTTAATATTTGGAGTCATTCGGTTGACAGTGTATGGAAACACAACACACAGCATATCGCCAAAATAGGTCACTAATTGGGATTGCGTCAATCCCAAATACTGATTTTGGAAGCTTAACGCCGAATAATTTCAATATTTGTAGTCATTGATTTGAGAGTGTATGGAAACACAACACACAGCATATCGCCAATTAAGGTCAATATTCGGTATTGCGTCAATCCCAAACACTGACTTTGGAAGCTTAACTCCGAATAATTTCAATATTTGTAGTCATTGAGTTGAAAGTGTATGGAAACACAACACACAGCCTATCGCCGATTCAGGTCAATTTTTTGGGATGGCATCAGTATTTGGGATCGAATTCCAGATTGAAGTACGTCAGTATTTGCGATCGAAGTCAGTAGGTCAGTATTTATGATCGAAATTGAGATCGAATTTGACAGGATTTGAGATCGAAGTTGGGTTGACAGGAATTGAGAACAAACTTTTGGTATTTCAACTGTTAGTTGATCAATGCAGTAATTGAGATTCATTTTTCTGGTAACCAGTATATAAAAGATATAATTTTAAACGCTATATTACACATATACAATTATGTAAACGGAATCCGCAAACACAAGCGGACTTCAAGTACAATTTGCGGATTCCACTTACAATTTGCGGATTCCACTTACAATTTGCGGATTCTGCATACAGTTGCGGAATCCACAACAGCTCAATTTAACTATACAAGTGTCTTATTATTTGTTTGTGGATTCCACAAACAGTTCTGGTTTCCGCAATTACGGTTGCGGATTCGCAAAATCGCCAAATTTTAGAGCAATTTTGAGCAGTACAATGTTTTAGGTATTTGTTTGTGGAATCCAAAACAGCGAAGAAGATCAAAGAAGAGTAGCAAAATTGCGGATTCCGCAACAAATCTGAATTTGGCTTGATGCGGAATCCGCTTAAAATGCACAGAATGGACAGTTTGGCCTCGTAATGCTCTGACCACTAAAAGCATGTGAAGAGACTTTGATCAAGCTATTTTTTTTTGTAAAACTATTGCAATTTCAAACTCAAAGCAAGCTTAAAAGAGGTTGAGCGCAGAATGATTTAAAACCCAATTCAGTCATGGTTCCTTTATGCATTATGCTTGATTGTATTTAAGCGAATTATTTCAAAAAAACTGTCTGATCAAACAATGAAATAGAAAAACGATTGCTTATAATATACATTCATGGTTTTTCGTGTTCAGACCCAGTTTAGTTTTTTTTTCTGTTTTTAGCACATTAGCTTTTATCATAGCAATTTGATAGCCTTGTAACATCGGCGAAAGTTACTTGATTTAGTGTGACAACTTTTAATTCTAACATCCTACGAAAGAGGAAAAAAACAAGATCACAAAATCAAAAGACAACAGAAAACAGTCTGCTTGATGAAAAATGGATCTTATGATGTCCCTTTAGTTTTTGGAACAGGAAAAGATCAATCATTATCAATTTATAGTGGAAAGATGGCTTTCACAAACGTTTTGATTTTTGATTTTTCTTGATTGTTTTTCCTCCTAATTTTTTGTTGTTTCTTCTCGGTAATTTGTTTTCATTACATGAAAAAACTCTGTGCTAGCCGGTTTACTCGCGTGTTACTTTTTGCTTACTTTTTCCATCAAATTTTGGTGATTGAGTCTAATTTTATTGCAATCGGTCATCTATTCATTCTGGCCCAAAAAATCGTCGTCCCAAAAGAGATTAATTGTACGCCAAATGTTTAGACAGAAGGGCTCAATTGTTCCACATAATGGCAAAAAATATCTTGGCTGCTACACTTGATTACAAAACACAATTTTTTTGCGAGATTTTAACATCCCCCCTGCGTGCTCAATTTTAACCCTATGTTTCATAAGTTACGGTTTAGAGATGAGCAACCAAGGTTGAAGAGCTCGGGTTAGCGACTGAGGTTGAACCGGAGGTTTTAAACGAGGATAGAGCAAAAGTAGCGATTGTTGAAGAAATAGTTGAGAAAATAAATCAAAATGACATGGAAAACTAAGCATCACAAAAATACCAGTTAACTAACTACTGACTACCAAGTTAAAATGTGATAACTAATTGACCGTGTATGAGTTTAATCAGTTTTGACGTTGATTTCCGTCGATCAATTTCTTAAAAGAATCGGTGTGACCTTGGAAGAGTTTGAACTCAATCTCTCAACTCACACTAAGCTGGTTTTGTCCAATATCAGACTAGTAAACATCAGTGTTCGACAATCTGATGCACCTTAATTTTGCTCAAGACTTTCGCCTGCAAGTCGGCTTCTATAATCTCAATAGGGAAATACTGGAATTCGACAGTCTCATCTTCAGCTCCATCTGGAGCAATGTAGTGTTATACATTGATGTTTTTCATTCCCTTCTGCTTGCATGATTGATTTACATCTTGATGTACCTCTAGTTTTCTTCCTTGATGACTCTTGGCTGGCCTGTCATAGTCACGCTCAAGTCATCGATAATTGATCGCAGATTTATAGCCTCATGAGCCGCTGATGCCATTGCATGGTACTCAGCTTATGACTGCTGTTGGTTGCATCTGAGTGCTCCGATTGATCACTGCCCCTGTCCTCTGCAGGTGGAAGCTAAAGTCAATGATTGAAATTCTAACATCACCATGTCTAAATCAGTCAGCGTCTTTGGATCCAAAACAATTAAATCAGCAAAGTCCTTCATATAGCACAGTTCTGGATCTTTGCTCCTTTTTAGGCAACGAAGGACACTCTTTGCACTTCCCTAGTGCAACGTACCGGAATTTTTCAGGAAAGGGGAGAGTTGAGTCACAGTATCCTGGCCTTGTTTACTTAACTATGTACAAAAATGAGCCCACAATGCCTCTGTAACCATTAACCTCACGGACACTGTCTCTTCCCAGGGAACCGGCCCGGGAAATTTTGAGTTGTTCGAAAAAACGGCTTCGCTTTTTGTCTTTTTCGCATCGACATCTGGACCCAATGATGATGTTAACTTTCCAAACCAGCAAAAAGATTTTTGAATCGACTGTTGCCCTCCCGGTGATCAATATAGATTATTGCTATTCCCACTATACACTTCTTCGAGCAGGAAAGTGCTGAGCATTTGGCTCTTGCTTTTCGCTGCCTGCGGCATCCAACAGAGACTTCGTTGTAGCCATTACTTTAGGTTACCTCCGCTCGCTGCTGAACACTTCTGGATGTTCCATGTCTCTGCTAAAAAAATCCATAGAAAGAGGTTGTGGGAATTTGAATCCATTTGAGGAAGTACAAGAGAACTCTGTGACCAAAAGTCCAGTAGTATACTCTTCCTTTGGGGTTAACAGTCGGAGTGAACGTATCGTTCAAGTCTAGTCCTTCCACCTGCGAGAATTGTTTCACTACTTATTTGACCCTTTCATCTCTCTTCACGGCAAGCACTCGTGCAATAACCTTGTAAACTCGTGGTCTATCGACAAGTATCAATGTTCTCATGCCCTTAAAACATGTGATCTATAATTTCATGACTGCAAGTCACTGCTCCTTTTTGTGCTCCTTTTTGCAATGCTGCATCAGGGGTAGCTGTCCGCATTTGGTTCAAATTGGTAAACTGAGCTCGTCACAGCATCTTTACAATCAATCTTTGATCTCTACTTCCTTGATCTTCCGCCCTCAGTCCTTTGTGTCTTTTTTCCAGTCCTCAAAGCTAGAAAAGACGGCAGCTTTGTCCATCACATGAGTAGTGCGCTCTGTGATTATAATGAGGTACTCTCCCTTCAATGAAAATGTAGCTCAGCAACTGAAACTACTTGTCCTCCCCTGTCTTGAAAAACGTCCAAGCTGCCCAAACTTAACCATCCTTACTTTTTTGCTTCTGGACTATTTGCTTCGTTCGCTCTATTGCTGCGAGCACTATATTGCTCAATGTAATTGCTGGATTAGCAGTTCCTCGCCGTATGAGCTTTTTCACCGCACAAATAGCAGTCACCTATTGGGCAGCCATCTTCAGCTTTCTTTTTAATACATAATAGCTTGCACTAGGAGGTTATGGCCAGTCTCACTCCACACTAAGACATTCTTGAGTT